ATTTTAATAATATAGTAAATATATAATAGCTATATATTAATCATATTTAGCAAAAAATATAGGTTTCAGTAAAGAAAATGATAATTCTTGAAATTTTTGATTATATTAATAATAATCAGGAAATAATTAAGAATAAAAAAATCACAGAAAGGATTAAACAAGTTTTTAGAATGATTATATATGTGAAAAGATTTTTGATAATTTGAAAGAAAAATATTTATATTTACGAAAGGAGGATTATGAATTTGATATTAAATCTGCTATTGTTTTTAATTAGTTGAAACCTCAGTTTGAAGTTGATGTTAATGATGAAGCATTTCGTTGATTAAAGAGAAAAAATCTATTTGTACAAGATGAAGAGAGATTTAAAGAAATCCAAGAAGAAGTTCATGATACAATTTCAAATTATTCATCAGTAATTGATTTTAAAAATGTTATTAATAATGATTTAAACATTTAATAATTAGTTTTTTTATAAAGGTATTATTATGATATGATAATTATACTGATCAATTTGAGAATTATAAAAAATCTGAAGAATTCAAATATTTGGTTAATAAAGAATCTTTACGACAATATAGAGAATATAAATGTCAAAAGTTATCAAATATTAAAGAAGAAATTGTAAAGGAAATAGAGAAATTAGAAAATAAACTTAAATCTTATTATGAAAATTTTGTAGAATTAGTAAAGAATTTTATTAAAGTTAATAAAAGATTTATAAAAGATAAATGTGATAAAAAAGCAGGTGAGAAAGTTAATAAACTAGATAAAAAATTGTTAAAGGATAATATTCTTTTAAAGGAAAATATAAATGAGATTATTCAATATTGTGAAAAAATAGTTGATTTAGAGAAAATTAATTATTATTAATAAAATTATATTAGGATTATTAATAAATAAATATATAAATATATGATTTTTTAACAAATTTTTTAAAATAAATTTACAAATAATAAATATTTTTTAAACAAATAATATGTCGAATAATAAATTGAAGAATAAAGAAACTAAAAAATATGATTTTAGTGAATGGGAAGAAATTAAAAGATTGAGGAATATGATTTCAAAAGAAATTAATAAAGCTTGGGTTCCAAAAGTATTTTATATTTATAGATTTCCTAGAACTGGAAAAACAAGTTTTGTAAAAAGTATGTTTAATGAGTATTATGAAAAACCTGATTTAAAAAGAATAAAAATAGTTGGTGGGACAACTATGGAAAACATGAGATTGTTTTATTAGACGAATTTCAAACAAAAATTGATTTGGATGAATTGATTTATATTTTAGAAGATGATAATCCTCAAGTTCAACAAAAATTTAGAGGGTTTATACTATTTCTTGCGAAATATGTATTTTTAACAAGTATAAAATCATTTGATGAATTATATAAGGAATATGATGATACATATGAATTATATAAATTAATTGATTATGTCATCGAATTTAAAGATGAAGGAATTGTTAAAGTTCATAAAGGTAATAAAGAAAAGTTTTTTAGTGAAAAATGGGATGTTTATGAAAGAAGTGAAGATTTTGATGAAAAGATTTATTGGAGATATAAATTTACAAAAGAACAAAAAGAGATTTTACAAACTTTAAAATATGATGATTAATAATTAAATTATTTTATTTATTATTTTATTAAAAATATTTGTCAAGATTATTAATATATTTAAATTATATAATAAAGGAATTATTTAATATTATGAAAATAAATTTTAAAAAATGGTTTTTTTTGAAATAATAATCAAGATATTTTCTTATTTAAATGAATTATCTTTGTTTAATTGTATCTTGGTATCCAGACATTGGGCTAGAATGGCAGTTCCTATACTTTGGCAAGATTCATTTAAAAATTACAAAATATATAATATTAATTTTATTTCATTGAAAAATATTATCTTATTTAATTTATATAAGAATAATTATTGTAAACAAGATCTTTTATTTGAGAGATATTCTGATACATTATTTCCATATCTTTCATATATAAAAAGAATAGATATTTCGATAATATGGAAAATGTTTAAATATTTTGAATATAGAGAAGAAATAATTAAATTGTTATTTGATTTATCAAATGTTATTGATTATGTTTGTATATTTCGTGATTATTTAGACAAGAATACTATCTCTAATTTAAATGAATATATGATAAAACACAAGATTTATTTGAAATGTCAATTGATAGATTTAAAAACATTAAATTTATTAACAAATTTTAATTTCAAGGGTTTAAGTCTGTGTGGATTTAATTATCAGGAAAAAATTTTTAATAATTTTTTACATTTGACAGATATAGAATTAAGAAATGTTTATTATATAACATATTTAGATATTATTAAATTAGATAATTTAATATCTCTTTCCTTGATCAATATTAATATTAGTAATGAAAATATTTTATTAGTTATAAGAAATTTAAAGAAATTGAAATATTTAAAAATATCAAATTATAAGATTAAATATTTAATAAGAGATTTGATAAATTGTTCAATTGAACATGAAAACGTAAAGGTATTAGAATTTGGGATGTATGATAATATTAATTTTTTTGATATAGAAAAGATACGTTTATGGAAATTTGAGAAATGTTTAGATTTAGAAAGGTTTTTTAAAAATGTAAAAGTTTTAGAAAATTTTTTTTATAAAGATAACAAAAAATTTTATATAAATAATTGACACAAAGAAAAAAAGGTAAAAAAAAAATAAAATGGAAAAAAGAAAAAGATCAAAATTGAAAAGTAAAAATAAAAAATCAAGCAAAGAAATTTTTAGATTTTGGAATCCAAAAGTATTTTATTTGTATGGACCTAGAGAATCTGGAAAAACAACTTTAATACAATTGTTATTGGATAGTGAATCATGTTCAGTATATGATAAAGCAGAAAAATTAAGATCACCTGAATGGGAAGATTATGATGAGCAAGAAATTCTTTTATTGGATAAATATCATAAAAAAATTGATTAGAGAGATTTGATGAAATTATTAAGTGATGAAAAATATATGGTAGAAGTTAATGAAAATGAATTTAAACTGCTTTTAGCAAAATATATATTTATCACAAATAGAAAATTACTAGAGGAGGCATATGAAATGAATCCAAAAGTGATTTTAATTTGGAAAAATTTAAAAGACATCTTGATTATATTATTGAGTTTAAAGGTAAATGGCATGATAATATTAATAAACGAACTACAGAAATTATATTTCATAAAGGAAATGAAGAAGAATTTCATAATATGGAATGGGATGTGAAATATTATGATAATGATTATGATCTTGAAGAAATTGAAAATATTATTGATACTCAAGGAAAAAATTTTGAAATAGATAGAAAATTTTATTGGAAGATAGAATTTCCAGAATATAAGATAAAATATTTACAGGATTATCCTAATTGCAAATCAATATATAAGTATATTGATGATAGATATTCTAAAAATAATGAATATTCTAAAAAGGATATAATGAAAATTATTAAAAGAAAAATGTTATATGGACTTGAGGGTGGTGAATTTCCATATTGACAGATTATTAATTTTACATTTTTATTTTTAATTAAATTTAGATATATAAATAAATATTTTTACTTTATTATTATTAATAAAAAAATGGTTACAAAATATAAAGATATACAAATTGCTACATTTAGTTATAATTCTGAGAATAAATGTATAGTTATTAGTGATATATTTGAAAATAAAATAGGATTATATTTGAAAAGAAATGGGTTAAAACCAAAAATAATTAAAAATTATACATTTACTGATAGACGTTTTTTGATGAGAAAAGATAAATCCTTATGGTCAGGAAGAATAATATTATTAAATAATGGTTCTATAGAAGGTTTAGAAGTTATTAATACAGGAAGATATACTATATTTGGTGATGATGGAACAGATATATGGTGTAATTATTTTGGTTGTCCATTATTAGTACAATGTAAATTTCAGTCTGTTTGTGATATTTGTAAATTAAAAAGGAAAAAATGTAGTCATGGATATTGGAAAAAGGAAATAATAAAAGATATTAAGAAACTTGATGATAAATTATCTGAATATAAAGTAGATGTATTTGGTATATTTGTTATTAGTGAAGATATAATGATTTGTGAAGAGATTAAAAATATGAAGTTTAAGAATATCATGAAAGTTGTTAATTTTTACGATGGATCTAAAAAAAATCAAAATATTGATGAATCTTTTGATGGGTTAAAGAATCAGATAGATATGTTAGGTAAAAAACTATTACAGAAATCACAAATGATGGATTGGTGCATTAATTTAGTTGAAGATAAATGAATAGAATTAGAGATTGCTTATAGAAATTTAGAAAGGGTCATTGATGATAAAATATTATTAAGTACGAAATCTTATTTTAATAATTTAAAAAAAATACTTTATTTTGTGAGGCAAGCATATAATATTACAAGTTTAAATGATATTTGTGATCAATTAGATGTTTTAAATATTGTTTAATAAAATTAATAATTAATCAAATATAAAAGAATTCATTTTATATATATATATTTTTTTTAAATTAAATGGAGTTAATTAAAGAAGATTTTAATTTTATTAATTATGATAAGTTTATTAATTTTGAAAAGATTGAAGAAGGTTCATCTGGTATTCTATATAGAGGAGAGTAGAAAATTAATAGAATAAATGTTGTTTTAAAAAAATTAAAAAGGAATGATATTGATGACAATTTTATAAAAGAGATTTCCTTTTTAAAAAAATTACGACATTTGAATATTATTAGTTTTTATAGTATTTCCAAAAATTCTTTAAAGAAATATAATATAGTATTAGAATTTGCAAATAATGGAAATTTACGAGAATATTTAAATATTAATCATAAAAATTTAAATTGGAATGATAAAATATATATGAGTAAAGATATAGCACAAGGATTATTATTTTTACATAATAATAATATTATACATTGAGATTTGTATTCGAAGAATATTTTAGTTGTTGACAAGAGTTTAAAGATAGCAGATTTTGGATTATCTATAAGTTGTGAGAAAAATTAAGAATGTATTAATTATGCAATGCCAGCATATGTTGAACCTCAATATTTTAAGAATCTATGTTATCAATTTGATAAAAAATCTGATATTTACAGTTTTGGTGTGATTTTATAGGAGATATCAAGTAGAAGAATACCTTATCAATTATTTACTACAATAGAGGCTATTGCTATTCATGTATTTCAAGAAAAAAGAGAAGTAGTCATTGAAAATATATCAGAAAAATATGTTGATATTTACACCAAGTGTTGGAATCAAAATCCACAAAAACGACCAGATATAAAATCAGTTTTTGATTTTTTAAAATTATTTTATAATTAGTATTGTTTATTTATTAAAGTTTTATTAATTATTATATATTATTTATTTCAATTTTTTTGTATTATTAATATGTTTAAAAAAAAAAAATAAATATTTTTATAGATATAAGAATATTTATTAATAATTAAAACAAATATATAAATAAATTATTTTTCAACAAAATATTTAAAAAAAAATATCTAGAAAAAAAAGAAAACCAAATATGAGAAAAGAATCGAGAATAGTATCAAGTATCATTTTCCTGAAGAGATATAGTCGAACGTCTTGTCGTTCATATCTTTTGATATAATTGAACAGAAACTATTTGAAAAATATCCTCCAATCAAGACCATAAAATCTATTTCACATGTTCCAAAACTTTCACGAATATTTCGAGAGATATTCGAAAATGATGTTAAAAAATTTTTTTATATTGATAAAAATACATTGTGGTGATCATTATATAATTTTAAAGAAACTTTTAGTGATTCAAAGTTTTATGATTTTTGTATTTATTGTTTGGGATTTAATAAAAGGTAAGATATAAAAATAAAGTAGATATTTCGTGACTTGGCTTAGTGACTATCAAGGATGTATCTTTATTATCTTTATATAGAATTCTGTGATTCTTGACTAGTTAGGAATTATGATATATAAAGATAATTATTGATGATTTGATAGTAGTCGATATTGAACAATAAAAAAAATTTTTATATTCACTTAATTCAATATTAATATTTTTTTTTTTAATTTAGGTATAAAATTACAAATATATTAAAAAAAATTTATAATATAGAAATTATTAATTATTATAAAAATATTCAAAAAATTAATATTATTATTAATAATAATAAATATATTGGTTTAATTTTAGATAAAAGAATTAATTCAAAATTAATAAATTCTTCAAAATTAACTCAATTTGATTTATATAATAGTAGTGGGTGTTCTGTATATTTTATGATAAGTATATGTAATTTTAGTAAAAAAATTAAAAAAAGATGTATTGCAGGAAAAATTTTTACTTTTAAATTTAAAAAAAATAAATTAAAAGTAGTTGGTAGAAAATATTATAGAAATAATGAATTATTAAAATTAATAAATATTAATTATCAAATTTATTAATAATATTTTTTTTTATAAATAAACTAAATTTTCTATAAAAAAAAATAAAAAAATAAAAAAAAATAAAAAAAAAATAAAAAAAAAAATGTCTAAATTTGATCATACTAAAATTGAATTTCTTGAAGATTTTAATATTAGTAAAAAAGTTGGAAATAATTATTTTAATAATTATTGTAAAATTAAATATGATGGTAAAGAGTGTTTACTTATTAGATTAAGTTTTATGACTAGTTGTTTTATCATTGATGAAAATAAATATGAATTGATTAAAACCTATACATGGTCTGCAAAGAAATCTGGAAAAGATAAAACTATTTATGTTTCTACTAATATAAATAATTTGAAAAAAAGTACTATTTTACTTCATAGATTGTTATTAAATTCAAGAGAGGGAGATGAGGTAGATCACCAAAGTAGTGATGGATTAGATAATCATCTTAATAATATTCATAAAACTATACATGTTTTAAATATGAAAAATAAATATAAAAGAAAAAAAAATGGATTATAAAGTTTTTTATGATAAGGATAAAGTAGGATTTATGGTTGAATGTAAGAATAGTATTTATAAACTTTTTAAAGGAAAATTTGATGATGATCAACTGTTTAAAGAAGCAGTTGAATATGTAAAGAAGGATTGGAAGGAGGAAAAATAATTATTATTTTTATTTAGTTTGTTACAATCTTAGTTTTTTTAAATATATAGTTTAGTTGTTTAAGGATATAACTTATATTTGTAATTTTAAGAAACAACATAAAGATAGATTTTAATATTTTATATGTTTATAAGATATTAAAAATATGTTTATTTAAAAAGGCACTTAATCTGCAAATCTTTTGTACCAAATTTTCTTAAAAAACTTTTTCAAAAAAACGAAAATTTCTTAAAATTTTATTAAGTAAATCAAGCAAGTGCTCTTAAGTAAACTTGCTCTACACATAATTTCACACC